ACTAAATTGTATTTTAGTTTAATATAGTTTGAAACCTAGTAATTTCCATCGAAGTTTACACAGAGCCGGGGTGGCTCGTAATCAGATTAAGAAAGCACTTTTCAAAGATGCGTCTGACTATTTGCGTAAGCGTGATGGGGTGGAAGTCGGCGGGGGAGGTGATATCTGCATCGGCTTTCTTTGGGTGCGCTGTCAAGAGGCTGCAGTTCAGGGCTGCGGGGAAGATACCCGCCTTCAGTAGCTCAGTGAATGCTTCGGCAAGGAGTCTAATCAGTGGGCTATTGGCGTCGGGGCGTTCTAATGTCCGGCATTCGGTAGAGCGCTTCACTGCGGCCTTCATGAGGAGGATGTGAATCCCGTCGGGGCCAGGTCCTTTATTGGGATAGCGTAGTATTGCCTCCATTACATCGTCGGGGCGTATGGTGGAAGTGACATCAGGAGAGGGTTCGGTATCCGGTGGAACCACGTACGGGTTTGTAGAGTTGAATAGGGCCTCAAAGTAGCCAGAGAGGGTAGCGCCTGTGTCATCGGCATCCGGTATGCAGGGTTGGCGCGGAGACCGTCGTTAGTACGCAATATCTTTGAACATTTAAGCATTGCTTTGGGCGGTCAGACGTGGCCCGAACGAGTGGTTTGGCAGCCGCTGAACCCAAGGTCTGTTTAAGTCATAATAGAGCCCTCCAGAGATTTGTGGGTTAGTGGCATAGCGCCAGATGCGGTCGAGGATTCGTAGCAGCCCTTCCGTTGGTCCATGTAAAGTGAGATACGACCGTAGTAGGTTCTGATACGCCCGGATTTCGGCTTGGAATAGTCGCGCGCGGGATTTGTTGCGTAGGTAATACAGTCGATGGCAATATCGGTTATATCCATGGGAGGGGAGGCGTTGGTCCGGAGGCGGCGGTATTGCTGGCATTTGTTGGGGCCGATGGATTTGATTCGTGGGAAGTATCTGGAGATCGAGTCCAAAGGTGTGGTCACCACAGATACCGTAGTCCGTCAGCTTATAAGTTTGGAGGGAGGCGGGGGTGGTAGGTCGATGATACGCATGTTCAGTACCAGTTGAGCCGCCAGCATAGAGGTAGTCCAAGTGCCACGTCTTACGCAGAGTAGTCTCAATCGTTTTCATACGTAGTCCGTGATTTGTAGATGCGTGGCCATACTTCCGGGCTTTGAAGTTGAAATCTCCTCACACGACATCTGGTTGGAAACCGCCAATCTCGGGGGGATTCATGTATTGCCTGACGTCGTCTTCAGTAAGCGATTTGAGTGGAAAGTAGAACTCGGCCATATGAACGCCAAAGCACACAAAGAACACCGCGTACGGTGAAGAGTGTACAAGTTGAAAATTCGATGGGTGATGTTTGGAAAAGATACCAATACCACAGTGTGAAGGGTGTAAGATATTATGCCGTGTAGTGTGATGTAGTATATGATAGCATGTGTTCGAGCGTATATGATTAAGAAATGTGGTGTTATGCCAGGTTTCAACCACACACATAACATCAACCTGACTTAAAATCGATATAACGTTCAAACACTTATCTGTATGTGCTGCGTTGTCCATGTTGAGTCCTTGTGGGTTGAAGAGCGTCATCCCCATTGGGCCTAACGTTGTTCATCATCGGTCAATACTACTGGGCTCTCCTCTTTGACGATGTCAGCCATTTCTATATCATTGCCTGTCGTCGAAGAGTCCGTCGTGGAAAGCTGAGGCTGCGTATTGCTATCCATCGTGTCGGATGATTGTGTCGGGGAGACAGTTGGTATATGAAGTCGTCCGGGTTTCGCACGCGCTGATTCTTTAGCGTTTACCGGGATTCGCGGGTTAAGTGAGAAGAGGTTTGCATTATGCTTTGCTTGGTAAGCCTTCTGGAGACGGTCCGCGGTAGATTGGAGGATGTCTGCGTTAGTGGAGTTGACAAGTGGGCTCGGTAGTGCATCCATGCTGCGGGCAAGATTTTTTGGCGCTCGTTCATGTGTGCAGCGGGCCTCCCGCTTGGTGCGGAGATAGTGAATTAAAGCTGCTTTCGTAGCGTCGGGATGTTGTTGGGAGCGGGGGTCGATGTTTTCATCAAGCTGCCATTTCCACGTAAGTACTGCATAGTCGCTGTAGTGGTTCAGGAAAGATTGATGGGAAGAAGTGGTCACTAAATTCCCGTTTGAAGCTTGGGCCAAGTGAATCGACAATGGAAGATATGTGCTGAGTCAATTCGGGCCGGTGTTGACAAAACACTGTTACTATCGAATGTTCCCTATATTCGCTTGCTGACCTACTAAGTAGAGTACCCACCTCTGTGGTACGGATCGGGTCTGCGCCGTGTAGTGCCGCGGAATGGGTTAGTGCAGAATACGAAATACCGAGAAGGACCAGGTTATCCGTCATAATCCGGTCGAGAAGCAAGGATGGGGGTAAGCCAATGCCGCACCAGACTACGGATGAATTCGGTATGTGTTGGCTGGCCTGGCTCGGAAGTATCATAGTCGGAACCAACAAGCGCGATGATTTGGTTTGAACCGATATTTGGAAGTAGTACTTCAACAGCGTAATTAGCCGGGGTATAGGGAACATCTGTTGATGTCCACCAATACTTCACGAGTTATTAGCGTGCCCGTACCAGAGGGTAGGTCGGATTTGTGGTAGGTGAAAAGCACGATTGTGACATGCTAGCAAGGTCAAAGAAGCATCCAAGTGTATTATATATCGCTCATAAGGTGTATAGTAGGGTCACATAAGCCCATGGTAGCATAGAACAACGATAACAGGTGGTCACGTTGCGGAATGGTGTATTGACCATCGATTGATGCATGCATTGAATTGACTTTTATTTGGAGGTTAGTGGCGATATGACGGCCTGTGATTGCATATCCCAGGATGTGTGTGACGAATGCACATGCAATTGTAAACGAGGACGTTGTTCAGTGTGTAATAGCGCGTGCAAGAAGTGTAAGTGTGCTTGCAACGGTACGAATGGCGCAAGGAAACGTGGTCGTCAGAAGGGATTCACCAAGGTAGTAGGCAAGGTGCAGCGTACTTCATCAGGACACACATCAGCTAAGAGAGCATGTTTAGATATTGCGGAGAGTATACGTGCGCTTGATACTCCATCACGTGCTAAGAGTGCGCCAAGTGAGACATACACACTCTCTGAAAGTCAAAACTTTGTCACAATCAGCACGAATAGTAACGAACGTCTAAATACAATAGAAATCTCACGGACATTTGGATGGAGTCGTAACAGTAGAAGGGCCTTGCCTAGTACAGAGTTATGCACTAACAACACTGAAATCCAAAGAACACATCCAAATGGCTGGAGTTGCATGTCTCAAATTGTGCTCAAGGCTGCTACCCGTGTAGCAAACATAGTATATCCAGCAGATGCAGATGCTTTGTTGCGTAACATTGCAAGCTCTCTCGGTGCTGCAAGCAATCCATCTGAAGACGTCAATAAACTCCCTGGTGGGCGAGTATTAAACTGACTTGTAGATGTACATAATAAAGCCCCCAAAAACTCTATACAAAAGAGGGTTGTACGGGCTGTACTAGTTAAGGCACTAACTAGGAAAGAGATAGACATACTGAAAAAGGTAGGAAAACTAACCTTGTCAGGATCATCACGTGACGTTAGCTATAATGACTGGGCTGTAATGGATCGCGGTGATGCTCTAAACACAGTGAAGTATAGCAGAGCGAGGTTCAGCGAATCCAAGCTCGAAGCGGCTATTAAGTTTATACTGTCAGAGGAGAATGTATGTCTAATATCCTGGGGCACTAAGTCTTTAATGATAAGACGCAATGAACTTGTAACTCTGCCTGCTCTCACGCGCCGTAAGCCTGCATAGGTACTATATAAAGACTATCTTGTGCCTGTTGACGAAGATGAACAAATTGGGAAGACTAGCTTTATGAAAGTTGTTCTATCAATTACGAATAATGATAAGAAGCTAATCACTGCGGTCGATTATGTCACGGGTTGTCTTGTAACTGATGTCGTCGATACGATGCAAACCATTCTAGAAGATTTCTCCGAAGACCAAGCAGAGCGCACACGACTGTCCACGTTGGTGGACTTAGGAAAGACATTCGTCAAATAACAATTAGATCATCACGTAGTCTTAAAAGATTCCGTCAATACTCATAGGTTGGAATATGCACTCTTAAAGCCATCTAAAGATATACCTGTTAGGGATGCCGAGTGTATTGGATGTAAGTTCGTGCCTTGGGTAGTGTCAGAAGTTAAGCGTACAGTGAGACGGAGTTCTTTTGATGGGGCAGATATACAGCAAGACGCCCTGCCCTGGATGTACTTGAAGTTTGCCGAGATAAACTAGATATCTATTCAGGACATAGAACAAGAGTCAAGAACCAACAATACCATATTGAGGAGATACTCAAAGGTATGTCTGATCGATGTATCGCAAACAAAGGCAGTAAAGAATTATTTACACTCATTGACTGGAATATGAAGTTCGATCCGATATCCTCAAGGGGAACCACTCATGAACATTATGGGCAACGCGGCATGGGTTGGCACGGGTGTATGTCGATGTATTTCGAATACACAGAATAGCAAGAGGAAGACGATGATGGCGTGTTGGTAACTAAGTGTGATGTAGTAAGGCATATTGTGTATGGCGATCAGATATTGGAAGGCGAAAATAAGCAAGATTCCTCTTGTGTATATTCTATGGTTGAAGCATATCTTTATGCGATCAAAGAGCGTTTGCCACGGATGACGGCTACAATACTAGCCTCTGACGACGCTGGTTGTTACAAATCCAAAGAACTACTATTGTATCTGGTATTATTGAATCTCACCTGTTCAATCCAGATTGTCAGGTTTATTCATACAGAGACGCAAGACGGAAAAGGGCTGTTAGACGCACACTTTGCACGTGGCGGCGGACACGTAAATAACTTTATGAAATCATCGAAACGTAATAGGATAAAAAAGATAGCTACTCCAAAAGACTTGGCTGCTGCATTGGCGTGGAAAGGGGGCATACAGAATGCGTTCGTTCAGTTGATAGCTATAGATCGGAAAGGACGACTGCAAACATTCATAGAGCAGACTAAAAAGATAGTTGATGCAGCAGGCAAGTTCTTCACCCGGGCCAATGATGTTATTTTCGAGAGAGCTACGTGTCCGTTAGTAGGAGGTGATCTCCTCGATCTGGGAAAGATTCTGAATAGCGATACGGTCATTCATTTGCGTGCGTATGCTTATTCTGGCGTTGGTACTGGTGTACTATTCCCAGATGGGTTTAGCGTCGAATCATTCACAATAGTTGATGAAATCGACGCTGATGTTGGTGAAGGTGTTGACCTGGGTTTGGCTAATAGTATCATTGATAAAAAGGGCGCTAATAATGGCATCTCTTCGAGTGCTACCGGGAACGATGAGGATACCGCAGCTAAGCCCAGGAAACAGTGGAATTTCAACGCGAAGAGGGCACCGCTCTCTGAAGAATCATTGCAGGAAGAAGATGATAGTGACGGTGAGATGGTAATGTCTGGAGAGGTCGATTATGTGATGGAGACTGAGGGAGATCAAGTAGAGCCCGACGACCTGAACTAAGAGCTGGATCTTGAAGATGAGATTGCTGCTGATGTCATACTTGATCCTGAGGCAGAGCTTGAGCACGAGAACGATAATGTTGCCGCCCAAGAGCTCGCTGGCTATGGTCCTGGAGATCCGGATAAGGGTAGTAAGCGATTATCCTATGTGTATGTGATGAAACAATCAAAGTTAGGGATCATTCTAGAGCCGTGTGATTATGCACGCGAAAAACGAACAGAAGGTGCGTACAAAGGAGCAGTGAATCGCGCCGATCTGTTCACTACCGCTGTGCGATCTGCAAATGCCCTTATCTCATCGCATGCGGTAGCTGTGCGCAATGGGAGTGAACCATTTCCGGAGATCGAATTGGCGGAAGACTTTCACCCTAAGAAGCACGCCCAAGGATGGGCGAGACGTCGACCTCATGGCGAACAATATGGCCAATCGTACATGAAAAAAATACGTAGATGACATCAAGGAGATGTTCTACAAAGGTGAAGCTGATTCATCGCTTAAGATGCAGCCTGGTTCAATGCTTTCACAACTAAAATTAATGTATCCTGGCCGATACTCTCTACCTAACGAAATGGATATACGGACGCTGATATCTACGTTAACAAGCGCGAAGAAAGCAGCGGTTGCTAAGCGGAAGACAGAGATATCGCAAGCAGAGAAGGGGCTCTAGCGATGGCAGCCGCTGCTGCGAGAGGTGAGGAGTACGTTCCCGCTGCAGGCAAGAAGGCGCGCAAGAAGACTATAGCTTTTTCTAATCGGTATCAAACTGATATGGAAAGTATATTGACAAACAACACGGATATCAGGTGGCAGGAGACTATACCTTTGATGAAAGAAAGGTACGCCAAAGAGGATGGTAGCATGCCCGGAGACTTCCCAGAGGATGCACACCTAAAATCCAAGCTCACTAACTGTAAAACCAAACTGAAACAGAAGAATCTTAAATCCATGTTATAAACATGCACACCCGGATCTACTGCTGACAAGCATTATAGGGTTGTCATTCACTTTATATGCTTACACTAATAGTATCTTGTATGTTTCGGATTATTTGTACTCTATATTTACTCGGTTGATACCTTATTTGCAGGAATTACAGGAGAGACACGCTAAATGTGCTTAATGCACTAATTGCATCTAACGACCATTCAATGCGTCATTCTTACAAAACCTCCATATATATGACATGTATCACTCTAAGACTCATTATGCACACTAAATGTAAGTTATAAATGATATCCAGAGCCTAAGAACACTCGATTAGTGCCACTACAAGGGCATTAGTCGTGTTTTACGTGTTGTTCAGGCCCAACTTCAAAGTACGATTAAGAGGTGAAATATTGGTGCTATGACTTAGCTTGAAAAACAAGAATTGCTCAGAACTACCTGCTTAATCCGTCTGAAGTGATAAAAACAAGGATTAGACTATTTCCGCATTTAAATAAAAACCTGGTACCCCAAGATTTTGGGCCCTGTGGCCCGGTTGGTAGGTGATTTTTTAGAATAAGAAAAACAAAAAAACAAAGGGTTTTAAGCCAACCATCAGGCATCACCAACTAAGGCTGCCTAAAACGGAAAGCGCGGGAAATGAGAAAACAAGAAGACTTCCTCTACGCAGGTCTTGGGTTTAAGGTTTATTGCATTTACTTCATCATGCTTCTTCATCCATATACTTTCATATACTTACCATAGCCTTCTAAGTAATTATTTTAGGAAGCTACGCTTCATTGAAGCCTCACACTTTTTAACTTCTTCTTTTAGGAGGCTGCGGCTTCATTGACATCTCTATCTTTTACCGACCTGACGACACGTTCGAGTGACGTTTCCGTTCAAGAGGAAGAACCACTCTACTGTGCCTAAAGATAGAAAACAGCTAGTCATGCAGCAAACTAGCTACTCTGCCTGTAGAAACTTAGGAGATAATATATATGTAGATGAAGCGTTGTCAAGAACGTAATAAAAAAGTATACTGCAATGGCAACATCGACAGTCCTGTAACAGCAACAACCCAGTAACATTTGGAATCGACGAGTATTTGGGTTGTTTCATGATGTTTAATGGTCGTTAATCTAACGCTGCTGGACTATGCGTACGCGTGGGCACAGGTGTGACCGTGGGAGCCTTCTCAGCAGCTAACCGTCTCATGTAGAACAGCACATAGGCATTCGGCGACACCACCTGCTGCGGATCGTGTACTGGGGTCACGCTATCATCTGGGTAGGGTGTACAAAGGGAAAAAGGTTGTCAGATACTAAAAGTGTACCTTGGGCATGTAACATATCAATGGGTGCAGGAAATGGCTCACAAGGCAGGTACTAATAAGAAATGTGTACCAAAATATCCAGACATACCGTTGCAATTATGCCATTCTTTCGTGTCGGGATGCCTGATGTATGCTGTGTAATGTCCGAAACTTAGGCTGCCCATGTGATTGTCCACAGATACTAGATCGTAGACCTCGCCAAGAGCAGTGTCTTTCTCTAGATCGTCTTCCCGTTGAGCGTCCTCATCTTCAACACCACCAAACGGTTCGTCTATGGCCCTTCCGGTGCATTCGGTTTCATGAACGTCCATATCGGTCTCAACCTTCACACTGGGCACGCCCAATTTCTGAATCACTTCATCACCATCCAGCACATTTGTGTCGCCAATGTCAGTATCCATATTTGTGTTCCTCTCCATCTCTACGATGCTTTGCCTTTGAGACGCCGAGCTTGCTAAACTATCGCATGATTGCTCTAGCTTCACACCGTGTTGCGCTACATAAGCGTGTAGATCTAGACCTTTCACGGGAAAATCGATGAGGGTATTGATCTTACATCGGCGTCGTTCATCGTAGTGGAATCGTTTGAGGTGAACTACTAACACATCCGGCAACTTCCATAGTGAGACGTGGATAGACGCCTTGAGCCGATAAAAGGGATTAAGTGAGTTGGTCTTAGTAATTTACGCGCTGTATTAACCAATTGCATTCTTTCAAATTTCAATCAAAGGTGTTGTGTGCTGGACAATACTGTAGCTTTGAAATGCAAAAAAAACAAGCAGACTGATACAGCCACTTTAAATCATGCGTGCACCAACTGTCATCATACCCTTTGATGTTTTTTACATCGAGAACAATAGAACATATCGTTCTCACTTAGGTCCTCGCGTGTGGTGAAATCCTTCAGTAATCGGTGTATATCGACTTTATCCGAAGACTGTAATACAATATAGAGAAAGCGTTGAGGTTGTTGCATGAGATTGTGATGCCCTTTTCGTCACCCCGAGAGTAGAACCCCACAGTTTGTTCAAATTAGCAAAACTGTCTCTAAACTTGGTATTTATCCATTGCATACCTTCGGTACTGTTGAGCTGTGAACATCGATCGCATCGTCCTGTTGCAAGTATATATCCTGTGGTGTTTCTTTACCCCACTGCAATTTAAAAGAACAATTGCTCAATGTATTAGCGGTAAATCCAGTACAGAAGGCTATAACCAGCTCAATTATGCTTTCCCTCTACAATCTACCGAGCCCTACATGATGGTGATCGCAGATAATTTGCTCAACAGCGATCGCCCACTTACCGTTAAAATCAAGTACGGACTCTTGAGGTCCACCGGTTTATCGCTGCGAGGTATTTGTGAATTTGTACTTCCAGATCTTTCCCCATTCTCTAATGTGAACTAGTGAGATAGATTCAGGATGTTACAGTGATCAGTTGAATAACCCAAGAAAAATAGAGAGCAATTTGACTGCGCAATGTCACTTCTTTTTATACCATAAGTATGCGGCAGACTTCACAGGCTAGCAGACTAGCTTTCTACAGTAAACTTACCTTGAGATTCTCCGGGAATCTCCCATTGTCTCGCGGCCGCAGAACCTTTTCCAACAGAAGCTCTTCCACTGGAGAGAAAGTGCCAGAGACATGCGTGCAATACACAAAAAACTATCAGACTCAGCTTGCAATAAAAGGTTCCGGAATGGATAAATTCCTCTCATGTGCTAGATCGTGTGGATATATAATAACAGAGGAGCGATGGAAGGTTGCGAAGTATGCTCAAACATGACACTTTGCCATGACAAGGAGCATAGATTCCTTGTTTTGTATGTGACCTCTGCATACGTCTACTAAAACAACCCAATGGAGGACCACTGGATGTTGCACCGTTAATAGATAATCAAATAGCTATGTATGCGACATTATACATCGGGGTTGAATTCCGATTCATACCTATAACGTAAAGTGTATTTCCGGTAAGAGACTCGTCGGTACTGATACTTGCCAGTAGAGGTTGCCCAATAAACATTTGCACCCCAAATTGCTGATACAAGGCGATGGCACGAGGCTGTGTGTATTGAGAATAAGCAAGTAGAGAGAGCAATCTTTTAGTCACCACAATTCACGAACACGATGAAAGTAAATAAAAAACCACCGGCGAGCTCCACATGCTTACTTGACCTTCAAAGAAAACAATACTGTCACGCCAAGGAAAATCATTTATCAGTTTGAATCACCTTATCACCATCATATAAAACCTCGGAACGATCCCTGTTGCCATATCGGCCGCCCAAAACGAATCCGTTTGATTTATATGGCGGTGGCGGTGGCGATGGTGCACTGATAATACGTAAATTTGAGATAAGATAACTGAGTGTGGTCGTATATGATCGTAGACTTACAAGAATGCGGATCGTCCGGATTCCTCTATTTAAGAGAGAAAATCCAACCACCATATATGTGTAAGCCGAATTAGGGAGCAAACGTGATTGTTCGCATATTCCAGCTATGTACCTTATAACGGGAATGCTGGGAGCCGGAAGCTGAATAGGTTTCTTGTCATATGTAACCTTAAGAACCTTGAGCATATCGACTGTGACCGATTCCCCGCACAGGCCGTTGAAGCAAATCGTATCTGGGCTATTTCCGAAGTGCGTCCCTATGCAAAGGAAGCAACTCCCCTTCCCACAAGCTTGGTGGATATGTACTGTGCAGAGTTACCGAAAAAACATGGATAAGCTACTTTTTCAACAATCAACAAAAAACTATAATAAAAAGAAGCTGTAAAGAATGCTCACCATGTGAAGAAAATACTCTCATAAAATGCGATGCCATACCTTGGTCATGATATTCGAGACATACGCAGCAGAACCCCTTTCGAGCTTCAGCGTCGACAGTAAGATCATCCACCTCCGTACCACTATCCACAGAATCGGAATCCATACCTGAGGAAAGGAATGTGTAGTAATTTTTAGATACAAGATGCATAAGCTCGCATTTAGAGACAAACCCGTGTCCAGGTGCATAGGAACTGTCAATTTCGCTATTGGTGAATAACAAGCCAAGCGCTACGAAACCAAATATTACGCCACTACTTTGATTAAAACGGGTAGCATAATTAAATGAAATACAAAGTTCAAAGCAAGTTGCTAAACATGCGATAGACATACCAGAGTCGTTACTATCGTCAGCCTCGTTTATGCTGACCGCAGGTTCGGCAGTGTCCGATACCAGCTTCTCTGCAATCGGGGACGCTTGTTCATTGGTATCGCTCAAGGGCTGAATAGAGTCCACTTCTGAAGTGCTTGAGGAGCTATCCGTGTGCGTATTCTCTTTGGTGATCGGCTCATATGCTGCTATATGGTACACGGCTACATCATCTTTGGCCGACACCGAATCATCGACAATATCATCATCGAGATAGAATTTATATATTTTTTTCAAGTGCACTTCGCATACTACTAAATCATCCAGCGCTGTCACGTTCTCATCGTCCGATGTTGGACGTGGTGGCAAACCTGTTATCTTCCTGACCATTCTCTTAAATTCGGCGAAAGTAGTTGTGCTCTTGACGTATATACCGTACCTCGTTGCCTTCGTGACACTGCCCGTGCCCGACTGCTTCGCTCCCAGCGAAGGCACGAATGTGAAGACCACATGTCTCTCGGGTTGAGAAATAGGTAGTGTGAGATACATGAACGGGTCAAAAGTAATAGTCTGTCTATTACATGCATGACACCGCACCGTACTCTTCAGTTGTCCCTGGAATAGGTCCATTATTTTGCTGTTGTTCCTCTTTAAATGCCCCTCCCATGCCTCTTGCGCGAGCTTCTCTTCGTCCATACCCACAACACCCTCAACCTTTTCAACGTAAGGTTTATTGAGAACTTTGTTCACGTCTTCGTGCAGTGCGTCGAGCAGGTAGGCTAGGAATTCTTGAGAATCGTGTTGACTGAACCTGCACATGATTTGAAGAAGTTTGGATGATCAGTACAATATATGTATATGTATATGTATAGGTATATGTATATATATATGCATATGTATATGTATATGTATATGAATATGAATATGTGTATGTATATATAGGCACTCTACGATATACATTCAGAAGAGAAATCCAGAATTTCAGCAATGAATTTAAATACAATTTTTTCAACACAAAGTTTGTGTGCGCGAGGAAATACAAACCAGTTTGCGTAAATTTTCTTCGTGCGGTATCACGTACCCACTCAGCATTGGTGCGAATTGTGATAAAGCATTCTTGAAACTGCCTGGCGATTGGCTTCGGCGATGGCCACTCCACATATTCTTGACAACGTTGGCATACTCTCTCGCAAGCGCGCCACCGGTGCCGAGAGGGTTGGTGCTGTTGATGTCTTTCTCATAATCACCCTTTAGAACGGGAAATACGCGAGACAAGACAAGTTAAGAACGTATAAAACGAACGAGAAGAATACCGGAATCACCATCCAATATGGAGAATTAACTTGAATGATTAAAGTTCAGACTAGATTCGCATAGCAGATGATGTGACAAGTGCATCTTACCGAAAGGAAGTACTGGGCCATCTGGGGGACGGCATTCAAACACTGCAAACCAGAATTCATATAGCAGGTGTTTCCCAGGTTTCGGAGTCCACATAGCCCAGGAACAGAGTTGACCACCGGTGCAAAATTGGTCGAGACTGGGCTGTCATAGTTGTTCAACGTACTGGAAATACCTGACACTGGACTGTTGAATATATCAGGCAAAGCTGGCGACAGTGGAGTTGTGGCATGCACTGTAGGATTTGATGAATATCAAGGTATTATGCGGAGTAAACTAAAGGTTTGTATTCACAGCACCAATAACAGTTATAGCTTCCGCACCGAGCAAAGTCTGTGCCCATATTATGTTAATGGAGGTGATCATAAACTATCGATGTGCAGGTTTGCAGTGATTATAAATGCGAGAAAGTGCGGCTGCAGAAATGCATAACAAATTTGCGACCCCAAAAAGCGAAATAAGAACCATCTCGTTCTTTTATGGTCAATCAAAAAGGCTCAAAAAGCGTTTGGACACCGGCAGCAATATGTTGCCTACTGCTGAATATTGTGCTTCCTCCGGATGACTATTAGTACCTGCGCAAGACCGTACATGTACAAGACTACAACGCCATCATACAAGAGTGTACAATATTGCGGGCAGCGCCGGCAATGTTACCTTACATAGTGTAAGATATATCTACATGGTGATCAATAGAAAAATAAAATCATTGCAAGAAGTAACGCGCACAGAGAGCTAGGACGGAATTCAATACTCGGTTGCGATAGCTGCTGATGCGTGGCATCTTAATCAATATCGAAGCGTTGGTCACGCGTGTAGTGTTCTTACGTTCAGAATCGGCAGTCCAATTCAAATCGTTGGTATCGTCGTCCGAAAGCGTTAATGTACCGGACTCCTCTGGCGTTCGAAAGGATGCGATATCCGTCGAATACACCATTGACTCTTCCTCTGTCGCATCCACCGGATCAGGTGCGGCGAACATATCGTCCCCAGTGCCCAGGACCAAATTGTTGGTGTCATCAAGCCTGTTTCGTACAATTGAAAACGATCAAACTGAAGGGCAGGGCTTGCTATTGGAGGCCTAGTTACTGAGATGCGTGACGTACTACATTCAGTGCAAAATGGCATCACTTCCGGGAGTGGTATAGGTCAGTCAGACTGCAAATTTTAACTAAATCATGAAACAATAAAGAGTAAAATCAGGATATAAAGATTGATATAAAAGCAAAAATTCGATCCGTTTGTGTAAAGATCTTGGGATCAAACCAAACGCGCCTGTTGGGGGTGCAGATACAAATGAGAGGTGGTATTAAGCATCGCAACCTGGTCAACCACCTGTAGGGGATGCTTTGTACTGGAAAGCCAGTATGAGTCGAATATATGGGTATAGATATTGGCAAACGCATAGAAACTCTTTCGGCTGGAACATTGCCCTAAAAATTGGTAAACCACTGTCACAATCAAATACACTCAAGTTTTTGCATATGTAGTATAAAAGTCGAATGTGCCAACTGACTGCACTTGTATTGTTTAAGTATACTAGTATGCTTAAACATCTGTAGCTGCATGTCTAAATACGTCTGCACAGTGAGTGTGTGCCAGCACGCTGATTTTACGTACCTATGATATGGGGCACTGTATGGTGGCGGAGGAGGCGATCCAGGCTCGTCGTCTACCGCCATTTCGACGTCGTCGGAATCATTCGGTTCTGTCATATTATTCACTTCGGAAGCGTCCCCGATTTCCGCACTATTCATAGACGCATGATCTGAAAAGTACAATGGACAAACGAACGATTCAATTAAAAGAGCGAAGCGTTAAGACTGTGGGCATTCAAAAACGACGTATGTCGGAAGTTCCGAAGGAGAAGGAAACAGCGCAGAAGTTTTATCTCAAGTCGAGAAGATAAACGACGAATCTTACCAACGAGCATTCGATATGCAATCCAATTTATAACATCCATACCAGTGTAATGACTATGAAATACATACCTCAATTCCAGAGCATATTCGTTTGTACACGCATGTATTAATAATAATAATAATAATAATAATAATAATGATAATAATAGTAATATATATATATATAATATAATATA